GGGGGGCAGGTCACTCAGACTCAAGGCCCATCAAGATATGGATGTGTGTTTTGTGTGTTTATGTGTGTGTGAGTGAGTGTCTGTGTTTATGTGTTTGTGATTGTGTGTGTGTATTATGAGTCTACAATCTTTTTAAATTGGTAGCCTCACAAATTCCAGTTTGTTACAACACCGCTTGCCCATCAAGCCCATCTATCAGTTGTGACATGGCTTTCTCCCCAGGGCCGGTCACCTGCGTGGACGCTAGTCATGCCGGGACTCTGCTGACCGGGGGTAGTGACCGCACCGTCATGCTGTGGAAGGAGGAGGTTTGAGTCCCTCTCTGGTGCTGTATGCTGGTGCACTATGGGCTCTGAGTCCGATTTGACATTTTGTGTGTGAGTGTGTGTGTGTGTGTATGTATGTGTGTGTGTGTGTGTGTTCGGGGGAGGGTCTTGCAGATGTGTGTGTGTGTGTGTGTGGAAGGTCTGGGAGATGTGTGTGTGTAATGTGTGTGTGTCTGTGTGTATGTGTGTGTGTGTGCGCGCGCGCCCACGTGTCTGTGTGTGTGTGTGTTGTTACATGGTCTCATAATGTGAATTTTCTGTCTTTTGATTTGGCAGTAAAGCTGAGTGATAATTGTATTTTACAGCGCTTGGAGCCTTCTAGGAATTAGGTGCTATATAAATTCTCATTATTATTATTATTATTATTATTGTTGTTATTATGTCTGCTCTGTGGGTTGAGAGACAGGTAGTGTGACTGTATATGCTTCCCTTTTGTTTGTAAATATAAAAGATTTGATATGCTACCTATTTGAATTGTTGTGTATACCACAGAAAAAGAAACTGCTAAACTGCAGCAGAAGGTTACATTTTTTTTTACTAGTAGAAGTGAAGCAGATTTGGTATGTTTACAAGGGCATAACCTTTTAGTGGGATCCTCCTCTGTATCCCTCTCAGCCCGGGTTGGCGCTCATATTCAGGGAAGAAAGCCTGCCTTCTGAATGATCTAAATTGTGTTGATGGTGCATCAAAAAAACCTACGTTAAAAAAGAAAAGAAATAAAGAAAAGACCTTCTTGGCTTGTGTAAGACTCTGATGCTAACAAGAAAATCGAATATCCTTGTGGCATCACTTGCGACAGCCATCAGTTTGTTTGAAAATATTATTCCGGATACTCTTCATAGATATATGTTTGTCTTTGTGCAGAAATAGTGCTGAACTTTACAATAGTAATTAGAATGGCGAGTCACTGCGTATTTCACTTTTCACAATTTCACATCACTGTCTTTCTGTCAGTCTGTGAGTAAGTCAGTTGGTTAAAGACAGGTACGAGGGCTGTCCCACGGAAAACCGTAAAAGGTCCGTAAAAGCAAAAATCTTTGTCCTATTATAATAAAACTGTAACACATCATACCTCAACATGTGCTTTATTTCTCAATGTAATTACCATCCCGCTGGACACATTTTTCCCATCGCTGGATCTGGGAGAAGATACCCTCCCTGAAGAATCTTTCGTCAAGGGATTTCAACCAATCGTTCACGGCTTCCACGAGGTCTTCGTCGTCGGTGAATCGCTGTCCAGAAATATGGCGTTTCATTGGTTCAAAAAGGTGATAATCTGACAGGGCCAAGTCAGGACTGTGAGGGGGGTGTAGTAGAACTTCCTAGCCGAACCTTTGGAACCAGTCTTTCGTGACGTTTGCGGTGTGTGGTGTTGTGTTGCCATGCTGCAAAATGATCCCGCTGGTCTTTTTCGGCCTCAACCCATCAAGCAGAGACCTTTCAATAGTGCAGCTCATCAAACTCTATCCTATAGACAGTCGACTTTGAAATGTTTAGCGACTCGCAAATTTCGCAAATTTTTAGGCGCCTGTCTGTTTGAATAAGTTCGTTAACGCGACTCTTGTTGTCCTCAGTCTTGGCAGAAAAACAAGATCCTGGGTAAACTTTGTCATTGATATCGGAGTGCCCGGCTTTGAACTCACGACATCACTCATATACCTGTGACTATGCCATTACTTTCTCCCCATAAACTGACTTTATTTCAGTGTGTATTTCTAGAGGTTTGAGACCTTTTGCGGTCAGAAACCGAATGACAGACCTCACTTCTACCCTTGACCAATTTTCCAAGGGGGTAGCCATCTTTTGAGAAATGCTGTGCTCGTTTGGTTTGTGCGATGCTCATGGTGCTCAATCGGGAAATTTCTAAATGATTGTTTTACAAGTGTGCGTTTACAGAATGTGAAAATATTGAATAGTTTTCAAATTACAGCCAAATTCCGGTTTTCCGTGGGACAGCCCTCGTATTAATAATATGTTGAGTGTGAAGATAAGATTTGTTATGTTATAATACCCATAGGTGCTAGTATTGGTCACATAGATACGTGAATGAGATTTTGTTGAGCGAATGAAAAAATTAAGGAAAAATAATGTTCCAGAGCTTAGTTGTATGCTTCATCTGTGTACTGGCTGTGCAATAGACTGACTTTATGTTCAAAGTTATAAAGTGTTAATAAAATACTCTGAATACTTCCCAGGAAGTTGATATTGTTTCAGATTGCTAACAGATCTACTGGAGTAATAATAAACGTGCCTGTGTAGATTGTTAAGCTCGTGGAGCTTGCTGTTGAGCAGGACATTTTGGCACTACTAATACTATTTATAATCATCATCATTGTTATCATTATTATTATTATTAAGCACCAGTCTATACTTCACATACCAACATTATCCGTCCTCATTCTCACTCATTCCTTCTTAAGTTTGTCGACGCCCTCAGCAGAAACATTTGTGTGGCATCGTGGTGAACTCAGGCGCCCGTCAAAATAATGAAATTGAAGAAAACAATATCTTTCTGCCCATTTGGAAATTTGTATAGATTTTTAAATTTTAGGCTCAACACCTTTAAAACACATTCCAGCCAGGATTTTAATTGAAAAACATTGATCAATGACACACAAAAAGTTTAACTTTGCAGTATCCAAGGACAAGCTTCGGCAGGTTGTCAAACTTTGGCAGCCATTTTCTTGCTAATTTTACCTCTGACACCAGACAACCCCCACCTCCTTCATATGCAAATATCTCGACTTCTATTCAAGATGGATCAGTATTTCTTTCATTTAAAGCAAGGCAAACGAACAAGCTTTGAGATGATATCAATAACTCCATATGACCAAAAATTGACGCGTGCCTAATTCCACCGTGTTGTGACACATTTCTCTCTCAGTCTCAGCCTTGAGGAATTAAATGTGAAAATTGATGCATTTATGTCTACTGAGTGGAAAGAGTTATTTATTCCCACAATGTCCAGTGTTTGTGCTGTTTTGATGAGTGGCGGAAAACTAGAGTTTGCTTAGTGGAGCTTTTCTCGGTGCCTTGTCCTGGATGCATCATATTATATGTGTGTTTTTGTATGTGTGTGTGTGTGTGTGTGTGTGTGTGTGTGTGTGTGTGTGTGTGTGTGTGTGTGTCTGTCTGTGTGTGTGTCAGCAGCTATTTTTTTCCTTCTTTGTCATTTGTTGCAAACAGAAAGCACTCTGGTAGTGGAAGGGTATAGTATAGGCATTTTTTGGCTAATGGGGCACCTTTCATGAGAAGATGAAAAGCATGGCCACTGACAGCCCGTATGACATTAAGGTATGGGTCACTTCTTGCCGAACAATGTCACTGGGCAAAAGTGTCGCTCGGTCAGGGTCCCATGGCCATAAAGTCACTCAGATAAGTTGATATTATTTATGCAGTTTTACCTTCATTTATATGAGACATACAAGTGCTCATTTTAATTTATGTTCAACTTGTTTAAATGGGATGAATATTTAATTGTTTTTGGTCCCTAAGCAAATAAAAGCTGGTAGATTTTTTTTCTCTTTTCTCATCAGATACTCTTCCTCTCATATTAGTTTGGCAAGGTACTTATCACTGGTATTGTTTTGAGAATGCATGTAGTCCTTAAAATTAAAAAAGGCCCACATAAAAAGAATTGCATCAGTGGTAAGATGTCATTGCAAATCATCGCCCTTGTGATATAACTTGCTAACCCCAGCCACAGTGGAGTAGGTTTTACTGGAGAAGTAAAAAACTTATTTGGTTTCTTCTCACAGCAACCTTGTACCCAGTGGGTTTTCTGGCTTTATTTTTAATATTATAGGAGCATTTTTTGCCAAAAAATCAGAACTGTCTTTAACTGGGTCTGTGAAATGAATTATTTTCTATCATTTTGCCAAATTAAAAGTTAAACAAAAATGTTTTGTGGATTAGCTGGTCTAATCACAAGGGTGATGATATGTTGATACCTGTTTTTCCCCCCTGGAGTCTCTGCCGGTCTTTGTGAGGTCAAGAACACTTGGAGTTAGCAGCGATCCTCATTCACGAGCCTTGCTATTGTGAAATTACTTTGTTTTTAGACTTCTCAGGTCAACCCACAGAAGCCAGATTGGCTTAAGTGCCATAAACTTTGTTTTGAGAGAATTGTGATTGAATGTTATTGGTTTTTAAAGATTGTAAAACTCACTCTTCGTAAATTTGTATTTTCCTTTTAAAAAGAATTCTAGATGCAGAGTTAAAAGCTGTAAAATTTAGTGTCATACTGATTTGATCATTTTGATATTTATTTTCTTACTTTTGGCAATTTTGGCACTTATAATGACACTGCTTTGAAGGATAATGATCATGTCCGTTCCCATTATTTTGAGGTTTTCAGAGTTTAGAAGGCGCTGCTGCTGGTTCCTTCTTCTTTTCTTTCCCAACACTGAATGACCATTATTGGGTCGAACTGTTGTTCGGTATCCAGACGAATAAACTCAATTAAACAAATATATCAATGCTTTCATTTAGCTTTCCTGTTCCACACTTTCTACTTGGATCTTGCTTTAAGAGTTTTTTCATTGCCCGAAATGTGTTGTTGGATTATTGACCCTCTTTGTTTGGTCCGTTCTGTCTTGTTGTTGAACTTAGTCCAACAAAGGGGCTTAGGTATAGTCACATATAAGGCATTTTGAGTTTAAAGTCCTTACGCTTAGGTATAGTCACATATAAGGCATTTTGAGTTTAAAGTCCTTACACTCTATTTTATTTGTGGCAATATTTATTTTTTCACATTTTGAAATAACTTGAGTGAATTTTGGAACTTCAGTCACTATGTCTTCGTCGTGTTCTTTTAATTTGTTTCTTATGTTCTCATTTTTTCTCTTTTTTTTGTGCTGTAGATACCACACTTCGCATTTTTCTTTTGTATGTTGATATATTTATGTTTCTTTTGAGAGTCTTAGCTTGGGTGAGGAGCTCCATCAAGATTGTAGGTTCTGCCGCCTGTTATGTTCTTTTTCTTTGTGTTTTGTTTTGAAGTATTGAAGAATAACATGATTCCACCTAACTCAAATATGCCCCATATGTTCATTTAATAAGACCTTGAAAGGCAAAATTTAAAAATGTTTCCTTCTATTTTGTATGTTATG